CTTCCTCGGGAACGAGGAGGAGAAAGCAGGCGCTAAAAGGCTTGAAGTATAGCATCAGGAGTGGTAGGATTCGTCTTTCCAGCTCACTGAGAAGAAGCTTGGAAAGTCTTCTTAAAAAAAAATCCCCAGCTGGTGCTGTTTGGTTGACCACCCTCTTCCTGAAGTCTCTAAAATAGCCCAGTTGTCATTTAGTGTAAGGGAATCTTCCCTTCCCCTTTTGTTGTCGCTGTTTTTTTCCAGCGAAGGCAGGAGCCGGATATTCCCGTCGTCGCCCAGCTCTGCCTCCTCCCCGGCTTGCTTGTCTCCAATAGAAACCCTGAAAACTAGATAATATGACTTAAAGACAACTCCCACAAACAAGAAGGTGCCACAGCACGGTGGTCTGGTGGTGTGTGCATATAATGCATGATTAAAACCTTGCAGACTTTGGGAATGTTGAGAGGTAAAGAAAGAGTGAGTAAGTAAGCAGTGAAAATGTCAGTGGCTAGTAATTTACTCCTCCTATTAAACTCTACAGCATTTCAAGCAGAAAGGATTTGAAAAGTGCTATGAGCGCTTTCTCCAAGGGCTGGTCTTTGATTTGATCCTTTCTTTTTAACACGAGTCCCTCATATAATCTTCTGACTGCATTGATTTCTGCAATAAGCAGCCCTTTCCTGCAGAAGATGAGATGCTTCTTGTAGAGTTGCCCAGCTAAAGAAAAAGTAGTCTAATCATGTAGCCAGCAATACAGGAACCTATTTTCTACTTTTAAGCTCTTTCTTGTTGGTTTTGTTCAAGCCTGTGTAATTTTTATTTTAAACTTCATACTAGTTAAGCATTCAACAAAATCATTATTCTATTTTAATGGTGTTTGCAAGCAAGAAAAGATACCAGCGAGTGTTGTGTAAAATAAATAAAAATTGCTAGTCTTGAATAATAGAAATGGAAAAGGTGGAAAGTAATTTACAGGTTTTCGATATGTTTTGGCTTTAACTCATAACTGACTTCTGAAAAAATTCTGTCCATAATTACATTAAAAAACAGATGTTCAGGTAATAATAAATCTGATTATAACACAGTGCTGAGTAGAACCCATTTTAATAGGGACTGATATATTGTAAGAAGAGCTGCAGCACGGAAGTAAGCTAAGTTTAGCCTTTCAGTGCTTAGTGTTGCTTTAATGTTGGAGATATTCTTTGACTATATTTTTACTGTCATTCTTAGCTTTAGCTGTTTGTATGAAACTGGTTAAATAAATTTTCATTGTGCTCGCCAGAAATACAAAGCAATATAAGCATGCTAAGTATTAACATAAAATGACAACTTGGAATGATACTAAATTATCTAAACCCTAGGACCCTTTGTTTCAGTCTTGCAGAGTTCACTAGAGACTGAAAGTATTAAAAAGTTCAACTTGGCAATGTATTTCATTGTGCAGTCTATGATATATTTGTTTCTCCTACAACAGCGTTTGGCTGTCTATTTGCAATAATGTGGCAGGCTTAGTTGGGTCTCTTGTGGATATGGATCAAAATGAGTGCTGCTTAGCTGTTGGGGAAGCAGGGCCAAAGATTCAACAGGCAGGGAAGTGATCTTCCCTCTCACCAGCACCTCCTTTGTGAGGTACTTTGCACCACTTCTGTCTTGCTGTTTCTTACCTGATTGGTAGCATTAAACAGAGCTTCGTTACACTCAGGTAAGGTGTGGTAAACAGGAAAACCTTTGGCGTAGTCTGTTTGGGCCAGCTCTTTGGTAGGAAGTGTAGTTTGGAGAGGAGAGTGGGATCAGAAACATGGAGAGGTTCCAGCACAAAGGAAACTGGCACTGAAATGCAAACATTTGTACAAAGGTGATAGTGGAAACCCAGGGGATAATACAGGAAGAGATTGCTAAATAATTCCATCTGTTAAACCTATGGTAGTGTAACTGGTGGGATGGGGATG